GTCACGGCATTAGGAAGGTGGAGAACCTCTGTTTTAGTTACTTTGACTTTTGTTACTTTTACCCTCATCATTCCTGTTTATAGCAGCCTTCACACACACACACACACACACACACACACACACACACACACACCCATTCACTGTGCTGGAGGCCATTCTGACTTATAAAAACCCAACGGGACAGGGTAGAACAGCCTCTGTGGGTTTCTGAGACTGTAAATCTTCACGGGGATCGAAAACCTACTCTTTCCCCCATGAAGCAGCTGGTGGTTTCAAACGGCTGACCTCGAGGTTAGCAGCCAACAGTCACCTCATCTGCATGTGAAAGATGGACTGAATAAGGAGGCTGGAGAAGAATCATACGTTAGAACTGTGGTGCTGGTGAAGACCATGGAGAGAACCGTGGGCTACCGAAAGAACAAGCAATCTGTCTTGGGAGAAGTAAGGCCCATAATGCTCCTTGGAAGCAAGGATGGGGAGAGTTTTGTCTCTGTCTCAGGTGCTTTGCTTGTGTTGTCAGGAGAGACCAGTCCCTGGAGAAGGGCATCATGCTTGGTACAGTAGAGGGGGGCCGCAAAAAGAGGAAGAGCTTCAAGGGGCATTGGCAGAATGCCTGCACCAATAGGCTCAAAATGAATCACAATGAGGAGGTCCCAGGACCGGGTGGTGTTTTGTCTGTGGTACCTGTGGGTTGCTGTGTGTCAGAACCAACTTGACGGCACCTACAACAACAACAACATTGCTCTTGTTAATCTCTCCTGCCTGCTCTGCGGTTCTTCAGGGAGCTCTAGTCTACCCGTCAGCTCCAGAGCATTCTCTTAATGAAGTAGGTGTGAGCCCACAGAGGACTTGGACCTCCTCTTGCTATATCATCTGCTGACACCATATTGCCTTTGCCAGCAAGGAGCAGGGGCTTCTGGGCTTGGTTGGTTTGTGTTGCCTTTCTCGGCGTCCCATGAATCTTGAATGTGGGCTTAAGCCTTCCGTGTTGGCCTGTCCGTGTCGGTTTGTGACATCCCTCTGCGTTTTTCCTGTGATGAACCCCTTCCTGCTTGTTTATGACAGTCACACCTCACGCCAAGCACGGGCTTCGAGCCGGTCACCAAGCTAAGAGTGTCCCTGGGGTGGCTTGGTGAGCCTCCCAGGCAGGCACTCTGCACGCACACACACCCCGTGTTTTCAGGCGGGTCCACTGAGGCCCGGAGTGTTTCAGTCACCCAAAATGAGAGGAGAACTCCTAGGTTGTGAACTTAGGAGAGTCAGATCTGGTTTCAGAGAGTACCCAAAAAAGGAAAAGAATGAAAAACAGCTGAGCTCCCAGACAGCCTCCTGCTCCACACCCTTCACCTTGCTCCTTTGCTCTTGTGCTTCCTCCTGGCAAGTGTGAGTCAGTACCAGCCTCTTGGCATTTCGACAGTCTCTTCTCTTGCTCAAATCATGGCTCCCTCCATGGAATTGTGCCCGAAGAGACTTCCCCATGGGGAGTCCAGAAAGCCATTCCCACAGATTCAGAAACTCTCGCTGTCCTCGAGTCAGTGCCGACCCATAGCAACCTGACAGGACCGGGGAGAAG